TAATAATGATATTTCAAAATGCAAGGGAAAAAGAAAGAGAGTGAAAGAACGAGAAAGACTAAAAAAAAACAGATTACAAAGTCAATTTGGAAATTAATTCGTAACTTGGTTGTTTTCTAATCAAAATTGTGTAAGAGCGAAAGAAAATAATTCGCATTGAGGGGATAATATCATTAAAGGGATTGATAATAGAAGCAACACGAAATATTGTATCAACGATAATAATACGCGACCGTTCCCATCACGTTCCCGACTGTTAGAGACTTCATTTCGTTTTAGGGATTGTTCGGCCGAATAGCATAAATATTTATGCACATACGCAAGCATTACGCGCTTGCCAGCGCATTAACGAGCACAATGCACTTATATCGTTTCATATACATACCAGCCGCTCAGGTGAGTGACGGCCGCCCGAGCGTGATGTTCTTCTCAGTTTATTTTACGGTTCCTTACGGTTGTCGCTTTCTTCCGTTTACCATCGCTTCTGTTCCATCTCTATTTTTATATACCTTCTAAAGACGTAATAATATATATAGGGTGTGCCGTCAATCATGGTACAACCGAGAGAGACCAAGTTGGAATATCGCTCATGACGAAATGAAAGAAAAGTGTAGAATAGATTTTTTAGATTCACGAAAAAGAAATTTGTACATTAGGAAAAAATATAGTCAATTTTAATAAATATTTAGTTCAATATACTGCCAATTAAATATTTATTTACAGTAAATAAATATTTGTTCAGTAGATTTTTAATAAATATTTAATTGGCAGTATATTCAACTAAATATTTATTAAAATTGACTATATTTTTTATCAATTTGTATCCTTTCGCCTTTTTTCCGTGATATTTATGCATTTCTTTCCGATGATTCGTTCATGTCCTTTCTCTATCAATATAGATTAACTTTAATATTGCACAGAAAAAATGATTTTGCTGAAATATTTAAAAAATTTAGCTACAGCAAATGTAGATGACTTGGGATAGCGCAGGTAACTTGGGAACAGCATGTACTTTTTGTTAAATTTAATCGTGGCCATCCATGAGTTACTAAAGAGCATTTAAAATTTAAACTTTCTTTAGAAACTTATGGCTAGATCCCAAGTCACCTACATTTACGGTAGTTACACAGATCTGAAAATGATTTTATTTGGATCATCAAAATAATTAGGTCGGACGTTCAAACTAGTTTTAGAATGTTACAAGATTTTGCAATATTTCAAATCTGTATCTAGATAAGTTTTTAGACATTTCAGTAAAATCGTTTTTTTATGCAGTTTAACTTATGCTTTATTTTTCTAAGAAAAATAAAGAGTAAATTAAACCAAAATTAAAGTTAAACTAATTGGTAGAAATGAATATAAATCGTGTATATCGAGAGCGATTAGCGCAAAAAACTTTTCTATTGTATTTCTTTTTGCGCCCCATGACGCGAGACAGCTACGTCATGGAGATCGGTATCGATCTTATTATCGAAAGGGCAGCCAGTAAGCACGCAAGTCGAGTGAGTTAGCACGGTATCGCCCCGTATCCTCTCAACTTGTTTTATAATCTTTTAAATATTCACTTTGTACGCTCGGTTTTACATTCACTACAGCGTATCGGCCGCTACGCTGCACGAACTCGCGCGTGTACTAACTCGAAAATGATTATCGGTCAGATCGCAGATCGACCCGCGATTGGTTTTTTTCAGAGGGAGGAGGAATCCGCTTTTGAATCATTCTCAATTAAGTTTAGTATTTATGAGAGTAATTCAACGGAGAAGAGTTAAAGAATAGAAGTGAGACCAGCTGTCTACGGTTGCAGTGCCTTGTTGTGCGTATGATTATCGGAAGTGACTCTCGGCTATATTTTTCGACTCTGTTGAGCTATCAGATTAAGTTCGACGTTACCTTCTGAAGAAAATTTAATCTCTAAGGCTGAATTGTTCCATCTTTCGGTAAAGGTCAGTTCACTGTCTTACTCTTTTACTCTCTTGTTTATCCAGTAGATAAATTATCAGTAGATAGTTTATCCAAAGATGGAACAACCGGTCTATAGCTTTTAGAACCGATTGTCACTCTAAAGAATAAAATCTTACTTTTAAAAATTGAAAATTGAACTACTTTTTTTCAAGAATGACACAATTTTCACTCTTTAGAGTGAGATTTCACTGCAAAGAATATAGAATACCTAATATTTACCGCAACAAAGAATCGTACGCGCGCAAAAGGAAACGCGCTTGTTTACGTTAATTAAATTTGTGACGCATGATTTTGCGCGCGCAGAATAATTAACGCGCGTTCTCCCTGCCCATTTCTCCCTCCCCTCTCATCGTACACATTTATTTTTCACGGGATAAAGTTCGACGTAACGAAGCGTCCGACGTTAACGAAGCGTTAAAGCGAAGCAGGTGGGTTGCATTAATGCAACACCGGGAGGAATATAAAACGGGTAATCGCGAAAGGTCGCATTAATATAGTAATAATAACAGGATAAAAATACGCGATTTTTCTCTCGCGAAAACGACGCGAAGTACACTCGCATGTATAGTTTATATTTAGACTCGCGCTTAGAGCGAATTTATAGTCATTGCTATCGGGATCCTTTATGCACCGTCCCTTGGCGATATTGCGGTGTGCCTACACTCCTCTAACACTCTAGGCCGACGGTTCTCAAATCTTTTTTTGCTCGCGACGCACTTATCGTCCGAAAGATGAATTACTCTCGCGAAACAATTCGCGTATGTTATCTTACTTTTTTCGTTTATCTTTTCAGGCGAATACCGAAGAAGGAAATTTTTTTTTTTAAGAAAATTAAATACAGATCCTCCTCTTTATCCGCGTAGCGATCACAATGTGCCGAAATTTTCTACGCGACGCGCCCTTTGAGAGTCACTGCTTGAGACGTTAGAGAAAGAGAGAGTACACCGTGCGTCTATAATCTCTCGGGTTTTTTTTCACGCGCGTGTGATGACACCCACGTGGTCTCGCCGCGCGGCTCTGCTCCGTGCGCGCGCGCGCGCGCGCGTGCAATTCACATGGAGCCACTAGCCGATATCTATATGGTCGCAACCTTTCTCCTCTCATGTGCTAATCAATCTGCGTGGCTTCCTACGCATTTCGATTACGTAAACGCGGCATTGTGAGCCCAGCGTGAAAATGAAAAAAACGCGAAATCAGGAATCCGCGCCTCGCATTCCGCGAACCGCGCTCGCCGACCCCCGCGTGCGAATCGGCCTGCCGCGGCCTCCGTCTTCACCGATATTTCATATTCCAATGACATTTGCGGATACATACAGCCCCGCGAGGATCGACTATCGAAACGCGCAATAGATCGTGCACTTTACACGCGTGAAATTATTAGCACGCTCGACCGGAGGCGGGGCGAATCGCTTTCGGAATGATTAAATTCAATCCAATCTAATCTCCAGGGACATATAATTAATTGTAGAAGCGCGCGAATGACATGTATATAAAAGATAATCGCCGAGCATTTCGTATCTCTCGTTTTCAAATGCCTTTCTTTCCAACATCCCACTTGAAGGATTAAAATTCGTCGCCCGAGGCACCGCCTACTTTGCTTAAATACGCCTTCGCATCTTCCATTTTTTTTCTCTCTTCTTTGTGGAACTCACATCCATTTTTCGTCCCACCGCGCCGCGCGGAACTTTCGCGGCGATGCGATGGCGACGGCGACGGCGACGGCGACGGCGACGGCGACGGCGACGGCGACGGCGAAGAAGATGCACGCCGCCAATGCACGGGCGGATCCGCGAGGCTGCGCTCACACCGCTCACGCGGGGCACCTTCTCCCGCCAGGTACACCCGTGTCCACCAACACGTCTTCGCGTATATCCATACATTCGCAAGTACACGTATACAGGGTGTTTCTCGAATCGATCTCTACACTTTTCGAGATACTTCCAATCGATTGGCAATAAAATATTTCTAACAAAAGTTTGTTGATTTTTAATAAAGAATTAATTGCAAAAAGAAAAACTTTAAATGTATTATTAAATATAATTTTTTAATGAAAAATTGAATTTCTTTTAATCGGTCTATATCTTTTTTCTATATTCTTCTAAATAACAGAAATTAATTTATTGATATTATAGCATTATTATCATTTTTATTATATGATCTTAAAATAATTCTATTAATGCTTACAACATATTCCACGAATCTCTATTGTCTAAAGCAGTCGGATTCAAACGTAAACTATTGCAGCTGAATCTATTGAAAGGAATAGAACTTTGTGTTGCGGAAGATGGTATTGCAGTGTTTGAATATTTATTTTAATTTAATAAATATACTTGATGTGTGAAAACAGCGTTAAGTAAATGTACTTCACTTTTATGTATATTTCGATTTTTTTTTACGCATTTCGATGACTACTATTTCTGTATTTGTTCTTACAGTTTGTTTACGTTTGAATCTCACTGCTTTAGATATCGATGACAGGTTTGTAAATTATCTTGATGTATTACGTCTCTTTATGTATTACAAGAAAAAGGAAAGAAAAATATACAGTTCCATTTAAAAAACAATTTGAGTTTGATTTTTCTTATCAAAAGATGAACAAATTTGAAATTATTCTTATGCAATTAATTCTTTATAACCACCAAACTTTTGTTAGAAACTTGTTGTCAATCAATGAGGAAGTACCTCAAAAGTACCGTGGCGACCGATTCGAGGAACACCCTGTATACACGTTGTACATAAATAGCACATATACACGCGAAGACGCATGTAGATGTTGCGCCCGCTTCCTTCTCGTCTACGCCGGTATATACGCTCGACCGGGCGCAACATCGCCGCCGCCACTGGCTGCGATGCTCGTGGTAGTTGGCCGTACCGCGTCGCGTCGCGCCGCTCCGCTCCGCTCCGCGCCGGGTCCCAGCCTGGCTGGCCCGAGTAGCAAGTCACCTCCGCTCACCTCGGCGGAGTGCGCGCGCCTGACTTCAGTTCGCGCTCGGCCCGAGTCGTCGTGCAGCACGGAACGACGGAACGCGGCAAACGCGCAGGAGGCGAGCAAACCCAGGCCAGGCAGGCGAGGCAAAAGCAAGGCAAGGCAGTCAGGCGCAGTCAGACGGGACGGATAGGCCGGCTGCTGTCGCAACGCACGCGTGTACGTGTTGCAGCTGATCCGCGTGCGCGTGTACATGCACGAATCTTCCACGGGAGGAGGAAGATTGACGGACACGTGACATACGGAATTGCTGCGTGCGGTGCTGAAACGCTTGTTATTATTTAACCTACGGCAGTGAGATCGAGATCGAAATATCGGATATCGGAGCGAGAATAGAGACAGTAGACGCGACTCACGAGGACACGGAAGATCCGCGTGGTGAGTGCCTCCGGTAGAGATTCTTGCGCAGGAACGGAGCGTGGTATTATGTCACACTCCCACGCGAGCGACGGCCGCCGCTGCCGTTCCTGCCGCCGTCGCTGCTGCCACCGTTGTTGCTGCTGCTGCTGCAAGGCCCAACATCCTCGTCGTTTGACATTTCCGCGGGTGTGCAACGCCTGATGGATCACACACGCGCGCGGCCCATTGTGAATGTTAACGCTCCTTTCGCGTATCACCTTAGTGTGTTCGGTTTATCGCCGCAACAAGATTCTTAAACGAGACATTTGTGCTGTCCCACGAAAGCACCGATATTTGTCGTAATTCGACAGTGACATCGATATCCGACGCGACGCGATCCACGTTCAATTCTTCCCGGTGTTCCTCCCGTCGTCGGTTCGAGAAAAGAAAACAAACGTTTTTGGATCCTTTCATTCAACGTCACATCCACTTTGCCAGGCAAACGCGCCGTCCAACGGCCTCCGTGGGAGGAAGGCGACAACAAAGGTAAACGAGAGAGAAAAGTGATTTGGCGCGAGCGCACCGTGCGCGCGTTTTCCACGAGCGAAACCTGATCGCTCGCGCGGTGTCACGTATCGGTATGGCACGCGATACGATAGCGATACTCTGCGCGACTCCGCTCGATTCC